TGCACAACTGGTAGAAGATGGATTGACCTTGATTCCTGAGGGAACAGAAAGGGAATACCTTACAATTATTTTAACTAAACTCACCGGTCCGGCGCGAAGAAGTACTTTAGAACATCAATTCACTTCGGTATCCGCGTTGATCAAGCATTTGAAGAGAAGATTTGGACCAGGAAAGAGCTTATCGCAATTTCAAACAGAAATTGCCAGGCTTCAAATTAGGGAATACGAAAGTTTGAGAAACTACATCGATAGAACAAGCCATCTTGTTTATTGTACAAGAGGAGCGATTAAAGAGAAATATCCTAGACATTCAGAGGAAAATATTAAACAAATGGAAATGGATATTTTAGAAAATTTCCTAGATGGATTACCAGACCGCATCTCTTTTAAGGTATCAGCACAAAATAGAGACATTAAAAACTTAGAGGAAGCTTTTGACGCTGTGCTAGAGGTAGACAGGAAATTAAGAAGTCGTCGTGATTTGGCACGAAACACATCACCAGGAGGCTGGAACAACAGGGATCACCACAGCAACGAACGTCGAAATGAAATTTCATACCCTCAATCTCCAACACGACACGATCGATATAGAGATCGACAGAGGAGACCATCTAACTCTGAAGACGAGAGAGAAGGACGACCACGTACATCAGCATGGACTGTGCGATCCAGGAATCAATCGAATTCACCTTCTTATCGTTCAAATTCACCACGCACAGATCAAGATGAAAAACGGTTTACAGTTTTAAAACGCAGTGAAAAGGATGATACTTCGCAGCTATATTGTTGGCGATGTGATACCCAAGGACACGATGAAAAACGTTGTAGGAGGAATTCGCAAAATTTCAGACAGCGATTATACTCTCGAAATTCTTCAGTCGAATCAAACAAGTCTTTAAACTCAGAAAACGCTCAACGGAAAGGCGAGGCGGTGAGCGATCTGCAAAGACCTCGCCAAAAGATAGTCAGATTCACGGGAGAATCCTCATCAAGGAAACCCCAGCACCAAGAATAAAAATCAAAGTTCCGGAATTAGAATTAGAAACAGCTGAATTTTTAATTGACGGTGGCGCGGCAGTTAACTTAATAGTGCGCGATGTTCTCGGAGATCAAGCCAAACGTATCACTAAAGAAGTTATTGAAATCACAGGACTTACAAAATCACCTATTTATAGCATAGGAACCACAATTCTTCACATTCACGGTAAGCCTGCATTATTTTACGTAGTAGAGAACCTTGCAATAGAAGCCGATGGAATTATAGGCAGCCCATTTTTATTACAAGAAGAAGCAGAAATTTCATATTATCATGGAACACTAGTATTGAAAGATAAACCTATTCGACCACTTCGTTTTTCAAATTACCGAGATTTAGCTCAGCAGAAAAATCCGAAATCGACTAAACACCGTATCGAAGCTCGAACAACAAAACAAATTGCAATTCACATAGCTAATCCAAATATTAAAGAGGGATACTTACCGCGACTCAAAACATCAGAAAATATATACATTGGCGAAGCAGCAGTATATAATCGTGACGGCATTTGTTACGCGTTAGCAACGAATACCGGAGAAGACGATGTAGACATCGAAATTGAACCTCAACACATTCATCCTTACGATATTTACGACTCGTCGGACGACGACCCAATTTCTTCATATATGACCGAAAACACACCAGAAAATAGAGCAACACGAATTAGAAATCTTTTAAGAACCGATCATCTCAATGCAGAAGAACGTAAACATGTATTCAACATCGTCGACGAATTTTCAGACAGATTTTACTTGCCTGGAGACAAACTAGGAGAAGTACCGAATTTTTACCATTCAATTCATACAACAGATGACGTACCGATTAATACAAGACAATACCGATATCCACCAGTACACCAAGACGAAATACAACGTCAAGTAAAGGCTCTGTTATTACAAGGAGTCATACAGCCATCTAGTTCACCATATAATTCTCCGTTATGGATTGTACCAAAGAAACCAGACGCTAAGGGCAATAAGCGTTGGCGTATGGTAATCGATTTCCGAGCCTTAAACGAAAAGACTTTGAGTGATAAATTTCCTTTGCCGAATATCACCGAAATTCTAGATAAATTGGGAGGAGCAAAATATTTCACAATTTTTGATATAGCAAATGGATTTCATCAAGTTCAAATGGATCCTAAGGATTGTCCGAAAACAGCATTCACAACACCGGATGGGCATTTTGAATTTGTACGCATGCCATTTGGTTTAAAAAATGCACCACCGACATTTCAACGCTTAATGAATCAAGTTATATCTGGTCTAGAGAACGCTCATGTATTCATAGACGATATGGTTGTTTTCTCTTCATCACTACGAGAACATGAAATAAAAGTAAAAAAATTACTCAATCGGCTCAGAGAATTTGGACTTACACTGCAGATTGATAAATGCGAATTCTTACGTAAGGAGGTTACTTATTTAGGACACATTTTAACAGAAAATGGTGTTAAGCCAGATCCTCGTAAATTACAAGCTGTAAAAGAATTTCCCATTCCTAAAACACAGAAAAATGTCCAGCAGTTCTTGGGACTGACAGGATATTATCGCCGTTTCATAAAAGATTATTCTATTAAATCAAAACCATTAGTTCAGTTATTAGGTAAAGGAATTCGTTTTAAGTGGACCGAAGACCAGCAAAAAAGTTTTGAAAATTTACGCGACGAACTCTGTACACAACCAATTTTACAATATCCGGATTTTAATCGACCGTTCATTGTTACCACTGACGCATCAGATTACGCAATTGGAGCTGTACTTAGTCAAGGAGAAATAGGAAACGATCTACCAATTGCCTACGCATCTCGTACCTTAAATAAAGCCGAAAGGAATTATTCTGCTACAGAAAAGGAATGTCTTGCAATGGTTTACGCAGTACAATATTTCAGACCGTATCTTTATGGAACAAAATTCACACTCGTCACAGATCACCGACCGTTAGTCTGGTTACACTCTGTCAAGGATCCGACATCACGACTTATGAAGTGGAGACTCAGACTCTTAGAGTACGAATATCAGGTTATCCATAAAGCAGGAAAGACGAACAAGAACGCAGACGCATTATCACGTAACCCAGTACCATCTTGCTTACCACTTATACCCCGAGATCCTCAAGACCCCGATTACAAGCATATAGGACAGAAACCAGAAATCGACACGGATTCCATAGGATTTCGTGTGCGGCAACTACAAAGGGACAGGGAAAGGAGACCGAAATATCAAGAGGAAAACACTAGCTCTGATGAAGAACCAGCCGGTGGGAAGGTTCAACATTCTCCAATAGCAGATAGACCGAGAGTCTTACCTAACTTATCGCACGAGATAAGTATGCCAGATGAACACATGGAAACAATAAACTTTCATCCGCAAGCAAATTCTACTAAAATCACATCGACAGAAGAAGACGTAAACTTGATTTCATTCGAAGAACCATCAGAAAATACCATTACGGAAAACACGATAATCGCAAACCCGCAACAGGATTTACTTAACCATACACCATTATCACTTGTAACAAATGAGGGAATTTTACAACCACAACCTGTTAACGAAACAATAGGAACGGCAATCCAGCAACCACAGGAAAACTTTGACCGTACCGTTGACCCTTATCCGTTCACACTTCTTGACACAGACACTCTTTCCACGGAGGGAGATGACCTGCGAAGAAAAGTGCAACCTTCACAGACACTTCAGGTTATTATCTCTCCAAACACCCTGACCACCGAGGAAGGTCATTACGCACATTTCATACCTGCGGACTGTAAATTGGTAACCCCCATTGGAAAACTGTTACTGGACACAGAAGCAATAGATTTACAACAGCTCATGTCAAAGAAACCGCAGAAAGGAGACGTAATAGAATCAGCAAATGGCTCATACAAAGTTTACAGTATAATAATATCAGATAATTTTTACGACACCATTAAAAGTGAAGATATACTAAACGGACTACAAACACTGAACCAGCATTTAGATCAAAATCCAATTAAATCATTTAGAATATCAGCAGTCGGAGATTTTCATAAATTACCAACCAATGAATTAACTAAATTAATAAAGGACGTTTTCAACGGTACAACACAGAAAATCATCATATGCAATTGTTCAACGATTACACCATCAGAAGAAGATCGATTACAAATAATTCGCGAAGCTCACGACAGTTTGATAGGAGGACATAAAGGAGTCACAAAAACATATAAACGCATCAGAGCGAAATATCAATGGCCAGAAATGCACAACGAAATACGAAATTATATCAGGAAATGTTCAAGCTGTCAAGAAGAGAAATTAGTTAGAGCAAAAACTCGTCAACCAATGTTAATTACCGATACCCCGATAGAACCATTTGATAAAGTTGCTTTAGACACCGTAGGACCTTTACCTTTAACGCCTAGCGGAAATAAATACATTCTCACAATGCAAGATTGTTTAACGAAATATTGTATAGCAGTAGCAATACCAAACATTAGAGCAGCCACAATAGCAGACGCTTTCGCGAGACATTTTATTGCCATATATGGAACACCACGAGCAATATTAACAGACAAGGGAACTAGTTTTATCGGAAGCTTAATGAAAAATCTTTCAGAAATATTCAAAATCAAACAAATCACAACTTCTGGATACAGACCACAAACTAATGGATCACTAGAACGAAGTCATATAGTACTAACAGAATATCTTAAACATTACATGGATAATTATGAAGATTGGGACCTATTAATACCATTTGCCATGTTTTCTTATAATACTTCCGTACATGAAGCAACAAATTTCTCTCCATATGAATTAATATTTGGAAAACCAGCCCGTGAACCAAGTTCGTTTCCAACTGGCGAAAGGTTAAAATCATATGGCGACTATTTAACAGAATTAATAACTCATACTATAAAAATCCGCAACATAGCAGCCGATAATTTGATTGCCTCCAAGCACCGTTCGAAGAAGTACTATGATAAACATTCCCGACCGGTAGAATTCAATGTAGGCGATTATGCTTATGCATTGCTAGAACCACGAATTAGTAAATTTGATCCACATTATGTAGGGCCATATGAGATCATTAATGTAACAGATATGAACAACATTGTATTGCGAACACCTGACAAAACGATAACAAAACACCAAGATAAATTAAAACACGCTTATTTTCCATCCACAGCGGAAAAAAACGGAAATAACGGGAAATCATGATTCCGGCACAACTACTTCTGATACCTCTGGCTCTGGTTATGAGTCAGACAGCGATTAAAGGCGGTTCAAAGGTGTTACCACTGGCGCAATCAACGGGTTTGTTTTACGATAAATTGTCAGACATACGGACATATCAATCGCAATGGCGATTGGTCACGTCATTGGATGTTGATAAATACCTTGCACATGCACCACCAGTAGAACAGATAATTCTGGCCATGAACCAACTTTGCAAAAAACACGGTTTAGAAACTTGCCTCAGCATGGAAGTAGGACCACGGTTACTTAAAAGAGAAGAAAACACTATGCAGTATAGGAATCTAATACAAACAGCAATAGGAAACGATGCCTTTCCAAAAAGACGACCATTACGACGCAATGCACCATTTGGATTTATTGGCACAATCAACAAAGCATTATTTGGAACCTTAACTCAAGAAGACGCAGATTTTTACAACCAGGAATTGAATAAGTTATATAAAAATCAACTTGAAATAACGGAACTCAACTCGAAGCAAATACACATTGTGAAAGGGGAGTTTTCAGCCATACATGAAAGATTAGTAAATTTAACACAGGTTACATCTGAGCTGATAAAAGCTGCATCAGAACATTCGCGATTCTTAGAAGAAACTAGGTCCGAAATTGCCCAACTCCGTTTTGAAACAGCTATAAGGGATACCATTTTAGAATTAGAAAGAGGATTGGACGACTACAGCACTAATTTACTATTATTAATAGACGCAATATTATTAGCGAAACAAGGAATAATGCATCTTGCCGTTTTTTCACCACAGCAATTATTGAAGTCAGCATTAAAGATCAAACAATCTTTAACTTATGAATTTCCATTATCTCCAGAAGAATTATTAACTGAACAAATCGAGAAACTAACGAAATTAAATGTAGTATTTGCAAAAGGCAGAGTATTATTTGAACTCACCATACCGCTTTTGGAACAAAAGGTGTTCAATTTGTATAAAATCTATCCTTGTCCATCAAAGCAGGTTATTAAAGAAAAAGAAGTAGTTACGTACATACAACCACAAATTTCATACATTGCAGTCACTACAGATGAGCAGCAATACTTTTTACCTACCGAGGAATATCTTGGAGTTTGCCGAGTTCATAATAATCAGTTAATAGGACCATCAACATTACCATTATATCAGGTAGAAGGTCATGCAACCTGCGAATCTACCTTGCTTTTGAACCCATCCGCCATAAACTGGGAAACCTGCGATGTAAGGGTAACCACCAAGCTTCAACCATTCTGGCAAGTGTTAAGCGCTCCTGCTACCTGGTTTTTCTTTATGCCAACCCATAAAAAGGCCCAGGTATATTGTAAAGGGGAAAAACCAACTATAGCAAACATTTACAATACTGGAATTTTCAACCTCGAACCGGGATGTAGAGCCACAGTAAATGCGATGCAATTAAAAGCAATGGACACAATAGTAACCATGGAAAATATTATACATTACCCATCAGCGTCATACAATTTATCAGTAATCATTCCGAAAATAACAGAACATCACCTATCAGTTTTAGAAACCAATTACACTAATACAGATCAAGTAATCACAAATTGGAAGAACCTTCCGACAGCACCAAACCTAGAGGAATTGGAGCATCGGGCGAAAGAATTGGAACTTCAAGAAATTTCCACAAATCGTATAAAAATATCAACATTTTCCTCGTTTGGAGTAGTATCTTTGATCCTACTATTAATAATTGGGACAATAATAAAAAGTAATATACACAAAATCATTAATAAACTAAAACCTTTGGACAAACCGAACGAAATTGAATTGCAACTGGAAGAAATACCTAAAAACTCAGAAGAATCAAATTCAAATAATATAAATTTACCAAGGGAAAAATCTTCAGCACCTAGACCAAGTGCCACAATATTCTAAGGGGCCGTAGCCACTCCTACACATCCCTCCTCTAAGAGTCGAAATAAGAGTGGGGTAAGATAAGGGTTTTCAGACTATATAAGCAGTTCTCGGCACCATAGTCTCATCAGTAGACATCCTCAAGAAAATGAACACCATCAAAAATATAGTTTTGAGCAGTTCTGTTCGGATCGGAATTGTCCACGTGGACAATCCGGTAGAATTCTGGGCGCAGGTGGACGACGGTCGGGAAGAAGCTAGGCGACTGTACCGGGACCTGTATCGGTACATGAGCGACCGCGGCCACCTCCACTTTCCAAACCAGGGAAGACTGACCACTGGACGTCTGGTGGCGTACAGAAGTAAAGAAGGTACCTGGGTCCGAGGAGAAGTTCAACACCTGGTGGACGGCCAGTTCGAGGTGGCTCTTCGTGACCACGGCAAGGTGGTAAGGGCACCGGTCGACCAACTTCGGACCTTGCCGCCACGCTTTCAAAATCTACCGTGGCAGGCCTTCAAGGTACGGGTACGGGGTATCCGCCCTGTATGCAGGACCTGGAAGATAGAGCAGGCCAAGAGGGTGTTGGAAGGAAGGAGGGGTCTGCTAACCAACATCAGAGGCGAGGGTGAGGTCGTGGCAGATGTAGCCCTCGATCGTCTACCAGGACAACCACCATTCAACGTGGCGGAGGCGTGGTTGGGCATGAGATACGCGGTTCCAGGCCGGGTATAAAAGCAGACCACAACACCATTCTTCCAAAACACTTATCTGAGCGGACCGAAATGTGCTACATCAGGGAACAACCAACTGAGAGGGACACCAGTCGCATCGAGCTGCTGATGAACTTGACGGCCCGCCTGTGCATGCGCAGCACTTGCTACAGATTAGACGTTGGCATTGTCTGTATGCAGTGTGCTCTCGAAGCAGCCCTTGGAGCAGCAAGGATCTATGACATGGTGGAGGTACACTATCCACTACCAACGGCATATCCGCCTGGGGCCTGCGATATTTGCAGCGCGCCCCTGATGGAGTTGCAGGCCGCCTACCACTGCGAGGAGTGTATTGCCGCCATCATCATGGAAATGGAATACCAAAGAGCAAACCAACCCATACCACCGCCTGCAATAGTACCAACCTGGTACACCGAGAGACAAATCCGATCGAGGCAGCCTGGACCCAGTCGTACGCTTCGACTTCATACCGCAGTTAGCAGCATCACCAACCATCACACGTAGCGATAAGTACACACACATCACACATAACACCCGACATATTGCATTACAACACCAAAACTTCAACACATTCTAGTGAGTGTTTTCCTTTCCAATTGAAAGCATCACGATTACCGCGATGTTTCATCTAAGGGGGGAGGTGTCACGTAGACAGACCGTTTTTATCAAACGTGTCTCCTCTCAAATAAGCTTAAACATCTGGAAAGGAAAACTCTCGGGCAAACCGACCATTTACTCTCGTAATAAACAGAAGGCCCACCGATAGCAGAACCAAACACTTGGGAAAGCAATGGGTCCGCCGTAATCAAATAGCAGATGCAACCACTCTAAACTGTCGCAGAGGCAGGTGGACCCAGCCTGATCACTCGAATAGTAACCAGACCACCCTTCTTAATTAGTATATAAACCCGTTCGTACCAACGATCGTGGGCAGTACCAGAGTTCATCTCGTGTCGAGCACGTCGTGTACGGTAGTGAGTTGGTTACTATTAGTGAGATCGGGTTGAAGTCCCCTTCGAGCAACATTCACCTTATAGAATCCGCGAGTCGTGTTTCTATTTGGCATTACAATCAACCACACACAACACCCCCGCATTGCCAGTGCGTGAACACCGAGCATAGTGGAAATAGGTAATATATCACATTATACACCTATATTCGCGACAACAACATCTGTAATAGACCAAGATTGTAGAATATATACATTGCTGTGTCAAACCCACATTAGCATTCTCCTTTAAACCCAGTGAAACCTTGTGACAGTTCCTACCACAATACAATCTTACCGCTCGGGTTGTATTGATAATAAAATAAGTTACGCGGCCGCCAATCAGAAAGCCTCTGATAGCCACGCGCGCTGCCAAGCCGTCGGCCACGTAACAACCAGAACAGGCGACTTGATGAAGTTGTTTAAGGCGTACAACCCGGGCCAGGCCGTGGTTGTGCGGAAACCCACGGGGGCGTATGCCTTCGTGACCTTCCCGACGGCAGCCTTGGCCGAACGAGCTGTGCGCTGGGTGGAGGCGACAAAACCCGTTTTTCATAAACGAAAGAGTAAGACGGCCGTAGCAGACGCCTGGAACGAAGCAGCCCTATTGCGACCACGGGGCCGACCTGACCCCTTTCCAGATGGAGCCGCGCCGAGCACCAGCGCTGCCAGTGGAGGTTCTGGCGAGAATCGCCAGCTTCCTATGTTTCGCCGACCGAGCAACCATGGAAGGTGTTTGTCGCGCTTGGCGAGTGGCCTCTATCCTCTTACGCCAGCGAACGAGTGCTGTCCACCGCAGACTGGCGTTGGCCGCAAGGATGGACGCACCCCCAGATCACCACGGAAAATTTCAACTGGGCTATCCGCCGCATGGGCCCCTACGTCGCGACGTTGCGTCTCGACGATCAATGGGTCGCTAACAGTTATTGATCTAACGGGCGCGACTATCCGCCCGTCGGGAGTCCGCGTCTTAACGTCGACCGCGGGGACTCTGGTTACATTTTTTCTGAGCAAGACGATTGGAGACGTGGAACCGGAGTTGTCGGGTTTGTTCGCGGCGGCGCAGTGTCCTCGCGAGCTTCAGGGCCATAAGCTCTGGGTTCGCGGGGGCGGCGTTGTCGCGGATGACCCCGGCACTCCGGGAACTTCGCCTTCGCGATTGCGCGTCGCTGTTGACAACACCGTGCCGCGTGTCTGGCGGCCCAGCGTTCGCTCGCGTCCGGTCGAGCTTTTCACAGTGCCGCGCCCTGACCTCTGCCGAACCGCTCACATCGCTCATCAATAACGAAGCCCTTCACGTCACCAAGCCACGAAATCGTCATCGTGGATATCGATTTCGCCCCGAGCAGCGAAGAAGAGGACGAGGACATGCCGGACGTGCCGCAAAGTACCGGATCCTATCTTTCTGGAATTGCAGATAGGGCCGGTGGAGATCACGCGCACACTACCGGAAGTTTTCAAACGACTAACCTCCTTGCGCGTATTATTTTGTGGGTGGGTGGACGTCACCTTCGTCCGACACGTGGGGAGAACTTAGACAACCTGTTCGAGCTCGACCTGTCAGGGTGCTCCAACATAAGAGGGCAGTTCGCCCTGGAAGCACTGGGAAATCTTCCAAAGCTGGAAAAGGTGGTCCTTAATAACCTACACCCATCAGTATCGGCGCCGGCCCTGGCCACCATCTAGTCCTTGAAGGAAGTCCGAACCCGGGACAGCCAGGGAATCACGGATGAGGATACCACCGCTATCGTCGTGGATGCCCGCACCTCGCAGTGCTGGACGTTGAAGGATGCCTGGGAGTGACCAGCCAGACGATCATCGAGGCAACGTAAATCGTACGGAGGCAGGGCAGGGCTGCGGTGCTGAGTTTGTCGGTCGGCGGGACGAGCGCGGATCGTCGAGCGCGCGTCCGACCCAGCCTGGTACAGTAATGTCTCTCACATTGCCCATACTGACGGACGCCTCACATTGTCCCTACGCTGTTTCTACGCTTATGTATACGTCACTTCTGCGCCTATGTTATCTCGATGGAAGTCAGTCAAGCATGTGATGTATGTAATGTGACACGCGACGCGGTCCTTTTGATGAGAGTTCCAGTGTTAGTAATTTATAATAAAGGAATATAACTTTTTTATTTTCACTTTTTTCTATTTATCAATTTTTTTTTCTATTTGCCAAGATTTTTACGATTAAAATGAGTCCAAACGCGATATAATTCGGACTAAATTTATTTATTAAGGCTTATTAAATAACTCACATGTGTAAATATGTATTATATTTCATACATAAATAGTTTAAAATTATTTAACGCGATTGAAAAATCTATTGAGTTTCAAACGTAGGCTGTACCACCACATTGTCCCTAAAACGTAGGCTGTACCACCACATTGTCCCTAAAACGTAGGCTGTACCATCACATTGCCCCTGAAACGTAGGCTGTACCACCGCATTGTCCCTCGAATGTAAGCTTTTTCCACATTATCCAGACACAAGTTACGTATTCAACAGATAATGTGTACAAATATTTTGTGTATTTTTTCTAGAAATCCGCTTTTGTAATTCATTTAAAGCGATGATGAAATGAATTACCTAATAGGTATTAATAAGTAAAGGTGATCCAAATTATATTGTGTTTGGTTTCATTTTAATCGCAAAAATCTCTCCAATATGATAAAAGTAATTGCATATTAAAAAAGTTAAAAATAAAAAAGTTTATATGTAGTACTGATTTTTAAATCTTTCATTTGCCCGACTCTAATTCTGTCTTTCTCTTTTATTCGCTGTCCTTTTCTTTGTTCGGCAAACTACAAAGGCGAGCTGCGAGGCTGGAAAAACGATTCTAGTCTTCCCAAGTTGCCCACTTTCGATTCCTACCTAACGGGCAATGTGAGAGAGATTACTGTATTGCGGGTCAATTATGACCGGGTATTTTAACCAATACTCCGCGATTTCTAGATTTTGCATCACCGAGGGCGGCGATCGTTTTAAGGGGGGAGGATTTGTTACGTCCCGGCGGAAAATTTGAGATTTATCCGCCTTGCGTCCCTTATCAAGCCCTTTTGGGTTACGAGAATTTCTCATGTAAGGGGCGTACAGGCGGGTGTTTCGGTTTTCCGCCAATCTTTCCATTCCTCCTCAACCTTGTACATTCTTGTCAAGCCTTTCGAGGTTACGAGGATTCCTCATGCAGGGATGTACAAGGAAGAGTTTGAGTTTAATTCTTTTCTATTTTTGACTTCCTCTATCGCTTTCTCTTCTTTACCTGCTCTACCCTGGAATCCTGTATCTTGTCAAGCTCTTTCGAGGGTTACGAGAATTTCTCATGCAAGGTACACGAGGAAAGGCCGTTTCTATTTTCTTCTTTTCAATAGGTTACGTGACCCTCCTTGAAACTATCGTCGCCAGCCATTGTAATAGAACACAGTAATAACGCATAAAAACTCGGGTTAGCTCGAGAGTGAGAGAGAGCCGTAGCATAACACCAGCGCTGCGCAGTTAGCCAGTGCTTCGCAGTCCGGGAAATTCCCTTGCTAACTGCGTAGGAACGGGAAAATCGTAATAATTCTTTTGTTAGAAACGTCTTTCTCACTCTGTTGCACAAAGCGTCAGCCGGTCCAACAAGGATCATCGTTACCTGATTGTAATAATGGTATGAGAGAGTGGATGGATGAAACAGATTTAAACAATGAAAGTAAGAGTTGAGAACCCTTACGAAAGCGAACGTCGCGAACGTTCGACCGCCGTTCGAAAATCAAGGGTCGTTCGAAGCAATAAACACTATTGTATCGGAATTCTAGGAACTGCCGAGCGATAACGGCAAATTTTGAACAAAGGAACGTTCTCGAAGGAACGTTCGCCAGATCTAGAATTGTTTAAAATTTATAAAATGCGAAATGCCGAATATATCGAGGCGATAGTTTGATGCGCGATAGATTGCATAATTCGCCACGGCATTACAACCACCGTAAGCGCATCATCCGCTGTTAAACATATAAAATCATACTGTTTTATTGCAAATCGGGGATGAATAATTTCGATCACGATATACGGATGACGGTTTCCTGTCAGACCCGATATTTCGATTTCATCTATATTTCAATTTTAATCTACATTTCAATATCCAATCTCAAATTGCATTCCAGCTAAACTAATAGTTATATCTCGAATAAATGCCGTTAACTAATTATATGTACGAAGAGAAATACTGCGTAGTTTCTGAAAACCGTTGAGACTATCATGGCGACGAATGAGAGAAGGAAGGAACACCAAAGAAAGGGGATGAAAGGTCTTCGTCTAGCTCGCACGTCTTAGCCAATCACCGGGCACGCGACACTTCCGAAAACGGGCTACGATTCGCCAAACCGTCCCCTCCAAGGACGATGTTCGCGCGACGGGCCCTTCAGCCTTCGATCACGCACGAAATTTGTCACTCTTGATCGATCAATCGTAAGTACGTGACCGGGAGCCCGTGTGTCCGAGAGACAGAGTTATTTGGAAGTTCGCGATATTTCTCTGC